ACGGCTCAATGTGATGGAATTCAGTTCAGTTTCTTAGTGTGGGAGGGAAAGATGGGTGGGGGAGAAATGAGTAACATCTGGAAACAGTAGAACTCACTCACGTGCCCTTTTTCCTTGGCTTTTCCCAGAAAGTCTGTCCCTTTATCTCTGCCCAAGAACAGAGAGCTGTTGTTTTCCTTTCTGGCTTGGGCAAATCTTTACGGACCCCATGCAATAACGCAACGAGACAGCGCCGGCTTTAAGAAGGAGCTCAACCACGGCTGACGCTTGGATCCAGCCTGCTGTGCTAACAGCGACAGGGCTCCTGAACCTGCACAGACTGCCTTTTCTCGACTGCTGGATCCAAGGCCACATTAAGTGCCCCACGGGTGATTTGTGACAGAGATGCCTTGTGACTATAGTTTTTTAAGAAAAGGTCTGCGTGGGGAATAGTATAGCAGCCCTCTCTATGGTTACAGGGGTCAAACTATTAAACAGAATTGTCCATTCGCCTGAAAGAGGTCGCAGAAAGCTTAAGATCTGCAAAGAAACACCCAGAAGTCCCATTTAGCATGATAACCCTTTGAATGAATGACCTCCAAGAGAACTTATCCTGAATAGCCCTGCACAGGTCCAAAGCCATGCTGAAGCAAAACGGTGGCTTCCTTTACTGAGTCAATGCATCTCATTTTAGACCTTCTTTTCCTCCTGCCTTTCACTTCCTGAAACATTACCATCTTCCCAAGGGAGTCTTGTGTTCTCCACCCCCCTCCCCCCAAAAGCACAACAGCCTCTTTGCACCACATCCAAAGTGCCACTTCTGAGCAGAGCCCCAAGCTGGACAACAGAACTTGGTTTTCGAGGTGGCTGAAGTTTCTAGTCCTGATTACAAAACTTCCGCAGATAGATCTTTGTGCCTGCCCTGGACTTAGCAGCCACCACAGGGAAGTTTTATCTTGTGTGTGTCATCCCCCAGGCCATGGGTTTAGAACCACTAGCAGCTCTGTGGAGAGCATGAAATGTTGGTGGCATTCATCCCTTTCCCCATCTGGGGGGGGGTCCCCATTTCTGAGAAGCCCCACCCGTCTTTTGGAATCTGTGATGACGCAAGGAATGTCCCATTCCCTTTGTGGAAAGGAAAGAGAAACTGAGCACTTCCAGATGATCTCCTCCAGACTGGAAGGTGGTCTCTCTAAAGAGAAACCCTAATTAAACCAGCCAGCCTTTCCCCATCCTCACATCTCTCTCTAGTTTTCCAGAACGGACCTCGATAGCAGAGCCTGTGTTTGGGGCACAAGACTTGACAAGGCTGTTCCAATCATGGCCACGTAAGCCTTGGAAACACCAGCCAAAAGTGGGTACCCCAAATCTTAAGACTGCTGCTGGTGGTTATCTGGTGCCCTCAGACATTTTGGATTACAACCCCCATCAGCCCCAGCTAATGAGGACTACGGGATCTTAAGAATTCGCATCCTAGTCTTAGCACTGAGAAAACAGGGCACCTTTGCAGCAAACTGTCCAACAAGCCCCTGCTCTTCCACGTGGCACAGAACGATGGGGAATGTGATCCATGCTGAGGGTGGTGAATGCAGAGTCCATGCCACTTGGGGGATTCTGGGAGTTTTAGTCCAAAGGAGCCCTCTTCCTAAATTCTGACCAGATCTTCCATGCTTGCTAAAAGAACTTTCCAGGCACAATTTCCATTCTCCAGCTGGACTTTAAACAAACAGAGCCCAGTGGAATATGAGAATTATTTCCTCCAGAACTAAAGGGAGGGGTTCTTGCATACTGTGCTGACCAGCCCCCCCTCCCTCCATAGCTTTGTGGGGTTGGCAGGGATCTGACAAAACTGCTTCCTCCCTGCTGGCCTTTCTCATCGGCGAGTCTCATTCCAGGAATCACAAGTTAAAAATCCTCTGTAAACACTGGCCTGCCCTCCCGCCTCTTCCACCCATGAGAAGCTATCAGTGTCCGAGATTCCCAGGCCGGAGATGCTTTGAAATGCTCCGTTTCTCTCCCCCGCCTCCAATAATTAGGCCATGCAAAACACACCGGGGACTATTCCAGACGGGCGAGATGTACAGCCAGCAGCCAGTGGAGGAAACCTACAGCTCCCGCTCAATCACGGCAGAACAATGCTTTGGCACAGGGAAGGCCCGTCGGCTTTCCACACCCCTCTGCAAACAGAAGGGCCAGTTGTTTGGCGTGGCATGAATAACCCCACTGGCAGTGTGATGCCCCTTCGCAGGAAGGCTTTGAGGCGGGGTCTGCTGGTCTGTGTTTTCTAGCGGCCTCAATGTGTCAGAAGCCGTCTGGCCACCCACAAGACAGTGTCCATTCACGCTTCCACAGACATCCTTTCGCAGCCATCTAAATTAGTAGAATCAGAAGAATCCCTAGCGGTCATCTAGTCTGACCCCACCAAAAGAGAAATTCATGGCCATACCATGTGCAGATTTCCACCCAACCTATGTTTACAAATGTCTATCCTGACAAACAAGAGTCTACTGCCTGTTCTACTCCCAAAACAGTCCCCAACATTGATAAGTTCTTGGACAAGTTCTTCTTGGACTTCTTGGAAATCTCTTTCCTTATATTTTTTTAACACTTAATTTGATCCTTTCCTGAAAGGTCTGCATAGTCAAAGCTATGGTTTTTCCAGTAGTGATGTATGGAAGTGAGAACTGGACCATAAAGAAGGCTGACCACCGAAGAATTGATGTTTTTGAATTGTGGTGCTGGAGAAGACTCTTGAGAGTCCCCTGGACTGCAAAGAGAACAAACCTATCCATTTTGAAGGAAATCAACCCTGAGTGCTCATTGGAAGGACAGCTCTAATATTTTGGCCATCTCATGAGAAGAGAAGACTCCCTGGAAAAGACCCTGACGTTGGGCAAGTGTGAAGGCAAGAGAAGGGGACGACAGAGGATGAGACGGCTGGACAGGGTCACTGAAGCGACCAACATGAATTTGACCCAACTCCGGGAGGCAGTGGAAGACAGGAGGGCCTGGTGTGCTCCGGTCCATGGGGTCACGAAGAGTCGGACATGACTTAAGGACTAAACAACAACAAATTCCAGCTGAGGTCTGACCAAAGCAGAAAAGTGTATTGATCTTGATGTCAGTTTCTTACTCCTGGAGTTGGGTTAACATTCTAGGGACAGCCCACAATGGAAGCAGATCTTTCTAACACAGTGATGTTCTGCAGGTGGGCGACTGATATTTCTAGATATACTGCACTGGAATATAGAAGTTCCATTTTCTCCTTCTACAATCAACAAGAGAGGTCTCCTCCTCCTCTCCCTCTTTCTCCTCCTCCATGACTTGGGTCCAATACCCCATTTAAAAGTATTTCCTCTAATTGCTCTCAGATAATGTAGCTGTGAGTTCCACATACTTCACTGTGTGTGGTGGGGAAGCCCTTTTGTTTCTTTGCCATTAATCTCTTGCAAAGCATTGCTAGAACCATCTGATCTTTACACAGGTACCTTTTCTCCTAATTGCCGAGCATAAACAGGGTCAAGAAGATAACATGGAAGCAGGTGTGCCCTGTAAACTTCCCGTACTGCACTTAAGAAAAATGGGATCTAAATGTAATATAGTTATTGTTTTTTCTTCCTCCAAGGAAAAGCAGCCACATATTATTCAGACATTGAAAAGAAAACACTTCTCTGTGTGATTTAATTGACGGAAGCCCATCACATACTGACAATATAACGTCACACGTCCACCAGCAATGCTCCCAAAATGCTCAGGAATCAGATCATAACATTCTTGGTGTCTCTCCTCACTTAGCAAGGCTGATGGAAGTACATCATGCGGGAAACAGTGTTTGGTGTTGTGTTTCCCTTTATGAATGTCTTGAACCAGGCTTTCACGGCTGAGAGCTAAGAGTAGGAGCTGACTCGACTGAAACACCACCTTGATCTCAGCCAACAGGAAACGTCCTACCTGTGGCTCGGGGTGAACAGTCAGAGATGTGGCGTGCGCCTGATTCTTGGAAAACTCCCTGAACTTGCAAATTTATGCGTTCTTTCTGGGAAACGAGGGTGTTCCCTGAGGGTGCCCGGTTCAGTCAATCAAAAGGCCTTGTGCAGAGTTACACCTTTCTCCTCTGCAATAAAATGTGTGTGTGGGGAAAAAAATTAGAAAGAAGGCAGAGGTTGTAGGAAAACTACAGATTGCTATAAACGGAGGACGGCTGGACCTTTTGGGATGATCTGTAAACAAGGCAAGGCGACTGCACGATAAAAGTCTCACCTGGGAGCATCTTAAGCCAGGGGCTTTCCTTCTGAGAATATGTGCCTACAACCGGACCCCTCCCAGGCCTTGCTATCTCTCCCTGTGCAGTTCAGGTATTTCCCACCTCTCAACTTTCTCTTAAGGGGATTAATGATGCTTTTCTGAGCTGTCATTCCACAATGGAGAAATGGAAGGCACGAGTTCGAATCCTCCCAGTGCAGTGCACTCTTTTTTTCTTCCTGTGGGACCTACCTCAGAAGGCAGTTGCCGAACCAAAGGGGGCAGAGCATAGGGGACAGAGTCCCCCTCCATGCTTGCTGGAGGGAAGGGGAAGTTAAAAGGTGAAAGCAGTGGCCAGTCTGGGGAAAGGCTGTGTGATGTGGGGCCACACTGAGCCAGGACCCTGGGAGGATGATGGTGGGGGCAGCTCCTCTCTCTCTCACCTTGGCCTCCCTCGCTAGACCGTTGCACAGGAAAGCCAGGCTGAGGCTCCCTAGAGCTCAGTGGAAACAAGCGGCATATAAATCTAAACATCCTGATGAACTTTCTCTTCACCACGACCGGGCTAGGTCGATCAGATGGCCAGAACGAGCCGCATCTTTAAGAACTTTCTCTTCACCACGACCCGGCGAGGTCGATCAGATGGCCAGAAAGAGCCGCATCTTTCCACGTCCCGGCTTATCCTTCCGCCCGGGGTCGGGTCCGTCTTTCCGAGCCGCTTTCCCCGCCCGCTCCCCCTTCCTTTACCCGGGAGTAAACCCCCCTCCTCTTCCCCTCACCTGTCTGAAGTCGGCCACGAGGGTCACCAGCGTGCCGTCGCCCTTCCGCAGCTCCAGGCTGACGCAGTCGGACCCGCTGTCCGCCTGCAGGCTCTCCTCCGTCACCTGCCCGTCGGGGAGCCGGACGCGCACCCGCAGCT